CAGAACAGAATTATTTAAAACTTGGTGCCGTAGGGGGGAAGGCTCGAACATGATACCGATTCTCGAGAAACGAACATATTGCCACTCCGCCAATCCCCCCAATTAATGGAATATTATTCATCATTGACTTACTTAATCGAGAATGATCAACAATTTCAAGTGTCCAATCATCACTGTTTAATTTCATCATACTTTTTCGAACTTTTATATAATCATCATTCATTGTTGATTGAGAATCAATGGATAACATTCCTTGACAACCAGCAATACGTACTTGATAGGCAGATGGTATGTCCTCCTATATAAGAAAATCATGCAATTTGAATTATATTACATTATAGAATATGCAGACATTTTTGGTAATACGAATTCCTATTGATATGGCTACTTTTTTAGCAAGACCTAATAATATTAGACCTATACCATTAGTGAAACAGTATCCATTACTTTCAATATCTTCAATAAGATATGCTTTGTATTGCGCATGATCAGCAGAAGGCTTAGTCTCTCTTTGAAATGAAATGTTTAATAGAGACCATAAAGACATTTTTGAATACCAACAATCATTTTTGCCAACAAATGTTAATTTTATTTTTTTTAATAAAGCAATTTACAGTTATATTACAAATTTATTTCATGCTTACATCTGTTGACTTTGTTGTCGTTAGATAAAGACCGACTCGTGCAATATATGTCGCAATATTTTGAATTTTCTTTAAATCACCTAATGCTATTCGTGCTTCGTTAACTACATATGCAGCATTAGTTGATTTGACTTTAGTAGGTGCCAAACACCAAAAGTCTTGTTCCTTCATTTGACTTCCTGATGAACCAAAGTAATAATAGATCAATTCTTTACATGCAAATGATTCTAAACACACACCATCTAATAGAATTTTCCTATATCGATTCTTAAGTTCATCATTTCGATTAATATTGATCATTTTGCTAAAACCATCTTCATCTCTAATATAAACAAGCATCCATTCATATCCTTTTTTGTTATCATATTTGTCGAATTGCTCGATGACCAGTTGTTAAATGAATTGGTTGAAATAAAATTCGTAGTGGAGTAATAATAACATGTGGAACTCTATATTTATTTTTTTCGGATAACGTAACATGAAATATATTTTTATCAAAAAATGTGTTTTGGATAAAATAAACAAGATCT